ATTGGAGATAAGAGTCTCATGGGCATTCCTGCCTGGTAGCTATGCATGAGCCATCAGCACCTGGCTATGTCTGCGTTTTAAAATGTTGAGCATGGGAGATATCAATATTAGCCACTTTCTGTCTATGGAAACTTTAGAAAAATATAGAAAAGTAGGGGGAAAAAAGAGAAAATAAAAATGCTGCCAGGTCTCAGTAATCCTAGCTACTCAGAAGGCTAATATCTGAGAATTGTGGTTCAAAGCCAGCCCAAGCAGGAAATTCCATGAGAATCTTATCTCCAATTAATCACTAAAAAAATCTGAAGCAGAGCTGTGGCTCAAGTGGTAGAGTGCTAACCCTGAGCAAAAAGAGCTCAGACAGCTCCTAGCCCCTAAGTTCAAGACCTAAAACCAACACACACACACACACACACACACACACACACACACACACACACACACACACTCTCCTGATCTCTTTTTTTAAACAAAATCACTAACGTTTTCATATATTCTGATGTTTTCACTTGTCTTTGCTTTTATAGCTTTATGGAGTGAGCTCTATAACAAATGTGGCCATCAGTTACCATTAAACCTTTCCTACTTAATTGTACCCTAAACATTTCCCATACTATTTCAAACATTTTTAAAATAAAAATATGACCTCATAGCCAGGTACTGGTGGCTCGCACATGTATTCCTAGTTACTCTGGAGGCTGAGAGCTGAGAACTGTGTTTGAAAGCCAGTCTGGGCAGGTACTACTTGAGACTCTAATCTCTAATTGGTCAGAAAAAGTGGAGGTGTTGCTCATCTGGCAGAGCACCAGACCTGAGTGAGAAAACTAAGCAAGAGGCCCTGGGCTCAAATTCCAGTACTTGCACCAAACAACAACAACAACAACAACAATAACAACAACAACGAAAAGTTCATTAATAGGTCATTTTCTGCAGAGTACAACTTGTGGGCATGGACAGAAGGGAGTAACTGTGGGAAAGTCAAGGAAGAGTGACATAGTCCAAGAGAATTGTCTTCATTACCTGACTTATTAAATGGTAACCTTTCTGTACAACACTTTAATAATAATAAAATCATATTTTGAGAAAGGCCACAGAAAAGGGCAAAAGAAAAAATATATAATCTTTCATATTGTGAAATTCCTACTATTGGACATTTTTTGTTTGTTTGTTTTTCACCCATAAGTAATGTGGAGAATAACCTTTATCTGGATAAGTATTTGCCTTTTTAAAAAATTACTTTCTCAGAAGAAATTATTGCATTGAAAGGAATAGAATTTTCAAATTTATTTTCCTCCTGATTATCAAGGTAAGATGAGCTTATCATTGGCAAGTAAAATATAATAACACGGGGTAAGAAAAAAAAATGTTCAGCATCCTTCAGCCAAAGGCAACTGAGATTAGCATTTTGACGTGATTTCTTCTGATACAGGCTGTTATTTTCATTCTAAGCAAGACTGCAGGGTATGAGCATGTTTAAGGTTTTTTATAATACAGCTGAAATTGCTTTCAATTTATCAACTTATCCGCCTTTTGAAAGTGCTTGAGTTGTGAGTATTCTGAAAAATACTAGCATGTAAAAATTACCAAGTAAATTTGGTTATTTCTAAACTTCCCACGATTTTGGTTTTGCTAGCTGTGAGTGATGCTGGCAAGAACACGAAAAAGTATTCAGGCAGGCATGGTGACCCATGTCTATAATCTAAGCTACTCAAAAGGCAGAGACTGGGAGGATCACAGTTTGAGGCCATCTCAGGAAAAAAAAAAAAAAAGCAAGACTCCTTTCTCAACAACAAAAACAGGCACATGATCACATCTATGCAGGAGGTATAAGTAGAAGGAAAATCTGGTCCAGGGGTGGAAAAATGCATGAGTCTACCTAAAAAATAATCTAAAGCAAAAAGAGCAGAGACAAGTAGTAGAGTATCTGCCTAGCAAACACAAGGCCCTAAGTTCAAATTCTGGAATCGCCATAAACAAACGAAGAGACCAAAAAAGTGTTGAACAAATGTTACTTGAAAAACTCATTCCCCAACTTTTGATGTGAATGAAGTCCATGCTTCTGTAAGTCTGCCTTGTTAACTATGGCCATGGAATTGGGAGCCTGTCAGCTTAGTGACATAGGAGTTTGAGCTCTGAGGGTCAAGGTTTAAAGCCAGCCTGAACAGGAAAGTCTGTGAGACAATAAACTACCAATAAACTACCATAAAACACCAGAGTGATTGTGTGGCTCAAGTGGTAGAGTGCTAGCCTTGAGTGAAAAAGCTAAAGGGGCAGTGTCCAGGCCTTGAGTTCAAGCCCCAGTACTGGCACAAACAAACCAACAGTGCTTATTTGGGAGCATGACATATTTGACAGGAAGCTATAGAATGTCCTTAGAGATGAAGGTAAGATTTTGGTCCATTATTAATTCAGAGTGAAAAAATATTCTTCTAATTATGGGCTTGAAATCTTCATGTTAAGGTACCCACAGAACAAATATTGTTCTGTACACAGAAGTACCTGAATGAGGCTGAGCCATCTTGGGCCCCCCTTTGACTGCTCTGCCTCCTGTTACTAATTCACCGCACATCCTGATCAGCTTTGCCTCTAGTGAATCTAGAAGAAAGTGCCTACCCTTCTCTTCCTTTCCTTCCCCTCCCTCCTCCTCCCTTCCCCTCCCTTCTCCTCCCTCTCCTCCCCCTCCTCTCCCTTCCATCCTTTCCCCTTCCTTCTCTCCCCTCCCCTCCCTAATCCTCCCCTGCTCTCCTTTCCCCTAGTTTTGTTTCCCTTATCTATTTCCTTGCATTGATGACATAGGGATTTCATAACTGTGTTTCTCTTCTTAGCAGCAATAAAACAAACTTCTGATCTTTATTTTTATTATCCCCACAAAATACACTCAATTCCTCTTCCAATGGTTTTACCTAATTTGACTTCTCTCACCTGCAATCATTCAATAATTCAACAATTCCTAACCAATTTATAGCATGTAGCAGGCTAAACACTGGAACTAGAGTGCTTCTAATTCTGGAGTGTGCCCAGTGGAATGGAAGGAAGCCCAGAGACTGGAAAGGGTATGTGGGAGGAACTTGTGGGCTGGTTGGCCCAAGCTTCCCTGATGTTCTCCTCGGGGCAGGAGGAGGCCTCCTAGAAACAGTGATATTTGAGGTGTAACATGAAGTAGGAGCAGACATTTCATTCATGGGCAGCTAGAATACTCTATGAGATAGAAACTCAAGGTTTTGAGAAATGGATGAGCTTTTTAGTGTGCCTGCAATACAACTCCAGGTAGCTCTTATAAGAGTGACAGGGGCTAAAGCCAGAAAGGCCAGAAGGGGGAAAGGTGAAATGAGGTTTTAAAGAACGTTGTCTCATGGAGGAGGTCAGAACTTGATATGCAGTGGATCACTAGAAAAGATATCTAAGGAGGGACTGACACCTGCAAGGTTAAAAAAAAAAAAAAGCAAGCTGGGACCAGCGACTTACGCCTGTAATTTTAGCTACCCAGGAGGCTGAGATCTGAAGGTTGCAGTTTGCAGCCAGTCTCGAGAGAAAAGTATGTGGGACTGATCTACAATTAATCACCAGAAAACTGGAATTGGTGTGGTGACTCAAAGTGGTAGAACGTTAACGAGGCTTGAGTGAAAGAGCTCACGGACATCACCCAGACCCTGAGTTTAAGCCCCATGACTGACAAGAGGATTCACTCATTCAATAAATCAAACAAGCAAGCAAGCAAGCAAACGAACAAACTGAAAACCATGCCCCTCACACCAATGTGGGGAATAGAATTGAGATGGCAAGAAATTCATTGAGTCAGTCACTCAGCTGCAGTTTGGGAGATGGAGGTAGAGGAAAGAGGCATATGAGGTCAAGCAGTATGGAGGGTGAATAAAAGGCAGTGAAGAAAAGATCCACATGGATGGCTGTAGGTGAACCAAAAAGGTTAGCTTGAGCAACTCAGAAAACAATGAGAGGATTAGCAGAGAGGGGGAGAATATTTATCCCACTTGGCAGATGCAACCCTTCCTTCTACACCCAACTCAGGGGCTCTATCCTTTACAAGTCTTTGGCTTCCATCACTGCCTTCCCAGAACAGCTGCTCCAGGATTCAGCAGGGAACAGTGTTCTGCCTGAGCACCAAGGTGGTAGGATTGCTCTCATGCTTCTTCAATATTCATCCTACAGTGCTGGGTATTCCCTGTGTCCATCAGGCAGTGGGGCCAGGGTAGCATGGCCCTTGCGAATCAGATCTTTATTATTAAGTGTCTATAAAATGGAGTTGCTCTGGTTAATACAGGGAGTGAAAGACACAGCATTCTGGACTCTTTGCTTCCTCTTATTCTAAATTGGAGCCCAAGAGACTCCACTTTGCCTAGGATCCCACAAGACATAATTAGTGAACCTTCAGCTTAGTGAACTCAGTTGTAGCCGAGTTTGAGCTCTACTCTGTCATATTTTCTTAGCTCTGATGGAATATACAGATGAGGAAACAGCTTCACCTTTGCCTTTGTAAAACAGAGATGGAAACTGTAGCAGTATGGCGAGAATGAGGTAAAAACAATGCACAAAGCAATTTCTGGCACTTATTAAATGCTTATTATAGTATAGTTGCTTTTAGTAAGCATGACAGGATAATTGCTGTTTGATCCTTGAATTGACACCATTCAGCCTAGTAAACTCATGCATCTTCAGGTTAGGAAAAACCAGGGCCATGGTGAAGCTATGGGTGTGCTTGGGGTTAGACACCTCTAAGACCAGACCTTGAATCCCAGAGGCCTGCAAGACAGAGCAATCTTATCTTAGGTTCCATTCATTCCATAAGCCCATGATCACCCTGGCTTTTCATGAGGGTCTATCAATAGTTAATGTGCCGGTGTCAGTTGCTGTAACTGAGCATACCGCATCACCAACGTGAATTAATTATAGGCAGGAGGAGAGAAAATAAAATGCCATTTTCTCAGAGTCCCAAGTTTCCCTGGCTGCACAGAAGCCGGGACACTGCAGGATAAACTTGCCCTCTGATGGAGGACTCTGAGAAGAAGTTAAATCAAAAAAGTGACGACAAACCTCGGAAAGTACGATTCAAAATCTCCTCTTCCTACAGCGGTCGAGTCTTGAAGCAGGTCTTTGAAGATGGGCAGGAATTAGAATCGCCCAAAGAGGAGTACCCTCACAGCTTTCTCCAGGAAGCTCTTGAACCCATGGATGGTGTTTACGGGTCTGGGGAGCCTCCCAAGCCCCCGCTATACTCCCCAAAGCTGACTGCCCAGAAGATCAGCGTGTTCAGAGAGGGCAAGACCTACACACTAGCAGGCAGCCAGCCTCTGTTCAATGACTACAAGACAAATGACCATAAGGTTAGTATTTTATGCATTTAACCACCTTCAGGGTAAGCCTCCATAAAATGATGTAGAGAAACACCCAATTGCTTCAGATTTGTATCTTGTTCATGCTCAGCTACAAATCAGAGCTATAGGTGCACCGGAACGGAAGCTTGTTATTAGAATAATATTTCTGGGACAAAAATAACATGCTTGTTGACTATTCACTGGAAAGCGCAATGAGCATAAATAGCATTCAGATAAATTCCATCCAGGGTAATACATGGTAATTGGGTCTTTGGCTGAGTTTTCCCAGTATGTAAATTAAATAGAGGTACAGTGGTTTTCAGATTGCCAGGATGTCGTTTGAGAAAATTATGCAGCAGTGGGTCGTTTTGTTTCCTGAAAGAGCTGAACGTTTGAAGGTGCTCATTTCACTCCAGCCAATTATTTAGCTTGTGGTTTTTCCTTGTCTTGTTTTAACCCCCCTCCCCCCTTCCCCAACATCTTCCTACTGCCTGCTTTTCAAAGGGTTTGTCTATCTGATCATTTTTTTCTTTGCAATGCTGATTAATATGAGCTCTAGGTAGATGGAGTCCTGGAAAGAGATGGCACAAAATTCAGGGGGGATGTGTTCCCTGGGGAAGACGTTGGAGCTAATAGTTTGATTGAAACATGTGGTTTGCTTGCAAATCATCTCTGGTATTATGGAAAAATCAAACGCCCGTACTAGTTTGTCTTAAGTTAGAAGTCCCAGGAATATACTTAATGGTTTTTCAAAACTCATAGGAGATGAATATATGTTCATGCCAGTGGGAACAAGAATACCTTGCTTCTTTTGAAGATCAAATACAATTATGTAATGCATTCAGGTTATTAATGAATAGTGCACCTGGATATGTGTACCCTCATCTTTGAAGTATGAAGTTCAGATAATTATTCTCTAATCGTTTTGATTGCCACTTCTTAAGAGAATAGATAATACATTTGTTACAGACAAATGCAATAGGCTTGTTGGTATTGGTGGAAGTATAATTATAGGGGTGTCCACAATTACGAAAATGAATATCAGGTTTCCTTTGAATATGAAAGGGGGCTGGAATGAGCAACCCCTTATGTTAGTGAGGGCCAGTGAGGGCATTATCCGGTGCTAGCCTGTTTTATTTCCTTCTGGATCTATTATATCATGGAGGAGAACAGCAAAGGATGTTCATTTCATTTTGCAGATGAGGAAAATGGTGCCTCAAGTGTGTAAGGGATCCATCTTTATTACAGGAACCTTATTATGTGCAGAGTCAGAATCAGAATCCAACTCTTCTTGTCTTATGGCCCATTCCCTTTTCAAAATCAAGATTATTAGATAATCATAACAATGAGGATAATACTACCATTTATTGTGCACTTATTATGTTTTAGGCACTCAGTTATCTTGCAAACTTACAGTATTCCTTCTTATCCATATCTTCTTTGAGAGTTGAGAATTAACAAAGTCAGTTCACACACGTCTTTTACAAGACAATGGTAGATAATTTAGGACTGCTTTATATATCATGTGCCCCATTTGGCATTTGGGTAAATATATGATTTTAATGTAGACTTATACAAGCAGGTTAAGTGAGTCATGATGACAGCATGGCTCAGTTGGTCATAACACAATACTATTGTGAGGCACTGGTGGGTCACATCTGAAATACCGGCTACACAGGAGGCTGAGATCTGAGAATCATTCAAAGTCAGCCTGGGCTGGAAAGCCCGTGATCTCTAATTAATCTCTAGAAAGCTGAAAGTGGAGCTGTGACTCAATTTGTAGAGTGATAGCTGTGAGTGAAAAAGCTTAGAGACAGTGTCCAGGCCCTGAGTTCAAGTCTCAGTACTGACACAAATAACAATAACAAAAACCAAACCAAAACAATGAGAAGAAAAGCCTCATAGCATTCTAGAGGTCATATTGAATACCTGCTTCATTGTTCTCTTGGATGCTTGATCAAGTGCTCCATCCCAGTGTGGCCAGGCTTGGGCTAGGAGAGGGGCCATGATGGATTCATGCAACTGTGCCCACTGAAGCAATTTGTTAATGTGGTATTCATGGCACATGACTTACTATATGATTTTTCTTTTTTTTTGGGTCCGGTTGTGGGGCCTGAACTCTGGGCCTGGGCCCTGTCCTTCAGCTCTTCAGCTCAAGGCTAGCGCTCTACCACTTGAGCCACAGCGCCACTTCTGGCTTTTTTCTTTTTGCTTATGTGGTGCTGAGGAATCAAACCCAGGGCCTTGAGCATGCAAGGCAAGCGCTCTACCACTGAGCCACCTTCCCAGTCCACTATATGATTTTCCATAGCCAATCCAATTGTAGAACCAACCCTGGTAAACACTGGCTCTAATTGAGTGCAGGGATTCAAAGGAAGGGCTCTGAACTCAGATATTTGTACACAGCTGTTTGTGGCAATTCTCAGCTGCCTAAAGGTGGAAACAGCTTAAATGTCCATCAGTTGGTAAATGAATAAACAAGATGTTATACATATGTATGGTATTATTCTACCTTAGAAAGAAAATTTTGACATGCTACAACATGAGTAAATCTTGAAGAAATTAAGTTAATGTCTTTATTGACATTAAGTTAAGTGAAATAAGCCACTCACAAAAGTAAGTATATGGTAAGGGTCACTTATGTGATGTGCTTAGAATTGTCTAATTCAGCTGGGAGCTGGTGGCTCACATCTGTAATCCTAGCTAACTCAAAAGACTGAGCCCTGAGGATCACAGTTTGAAGCCAGCCAGGCAGGCAAGTCTGTGAGACACTTATCACCAATGTGTCACTAAAATAGCCAGGAGTAGAACTGTGGCTCAACTGGTTGAGTACTACTACTCTTGATCACAAAAGCTCAGAAACAGTGCCTTGACTCTGAGTTCAAGTCTCCCTAGGACTGGCACATACACACACACACACACACACACACACACACACACACACACACTCACACTCACTCACAAACAATAACTTATTTTTCTCTTCTGTCTTGAGGACCTGGTAACCATAATTGTACTTTGTGTCTTTATGTATTGGACTTATTGTATGTGTGTGTGTGTGTGTGTGTGTGTGTGTGTGTGTGTGTGTGCTTGAACTCAGGACCTGAGAACAATACCTGAGCTTTTGTTTAAGGCTAGTGTTCTACTACTTGAGACAGAGTTCACTTCCATTTTTTTTTTTTTTTGCTGGTTAATTGGAGATAAGAGTCTCACAGGGACTTTTCTGCCCTGGCTGGCTTCGAACAACAATCCTCAGATCTCAGCTTCCTAAGTAGCAGGGATTACAGTTATAAGTACTGGGTCCTTTTTTTTTTTTTTTAAACAAAACAAAACAAAACAATACTGGGTTTGAACTCAGGGACTTGTGTTGCTAGACAAATGTTCTACTGCTTGAGCCATGCCGAGTCCCGTATATAGATTCAATTTGGGAAAAAGAAAAAGGTCTGCAATTGGATGGTGGTAACAGATGCACAATAGTGTCAATGTACCTGAGCTCTTAGAAAAGGCTGAAATGGTAGTTTTTGTATAACGTATATGTTATCACAATCATTATCATCATAATAAAGCAAAGACTGATGCCACTCAACCTTGATCTTTACGTGCAGTTATAGCAATTCACTACATGAGCCTGGGCAAACTCTGAGGCTAATGTTGCTGAACTTCAATGTCACTGACATGACATAAAGGTAACAGAAAGAAGAGAGTTGTTATTCTAACTAAAATGATCCTACAGCTGGGCCCCAATGGCTCATGCCTGTAATCCTAGCTACTCAGGAACCTGGAATCTGAGTATCCCAACTTGAAGCCAGCCCAGGCAGATTCTTACCTCCAGTTAAACACAAAAAACCAGAAGCGGAACTTTGGCTCAAGTTGTAGAATGCCAACTTTGAGCAAAAAAGCAAAGTGAGAGAGTCCAGGCTCTGAGGTCAAGCCCCAGGACCAACACACACACACACACACACACACACACACACACACACACACACATACACACACACAGACACACACACAGACATACACACAGGCACACATACAAGTAATACATATGAAGCACTTAGCATTGTGCTGGTCCCTTGCATACGTTCAACAAACATTACCTACCATTGCCACAACAAGCAGGTCATTATCAAAGAAATGTTGAGCATTTTTTATTTTATGTGATGTACAGAGAAAGCAGTTATAAATAATAAAAAATACTTCAAGGAATTAAAGCAGATGGAAATTTATTAAGCTCATAAAGATGTGGAAGAGGAAGGGGAGGGAAACCACCTTTCTTTTTAACTGTTTTTTATTATGAGCAAGGTAATGAGTACATTTCTTATCAAGCATTGTTGCCTCCTCCTTTGTTTTTCCCCTACCATCCCTTCCCTCCCACCTCCTCAGCTATACCCCTCCTTACCACTCCCCCCCAGCCTAAATTGTAAAGTTCATTTTTCGACATAGTGTCTTGTACATCTCATTGTTACAATGGGTCAATCCATATCCTTATTTAAACAATTTGTTTTTTCCCTTCCCCTCCCCAAATTATATCAACATCAAATACAATGTAAACAGGGGTTATACTGTGGGGGAGGGACATACAAAGCAACAAAAAAAAAATCACATGGTACCTTATAAAACAGAAAACACCTTTCTTGAATGCCCACTTGATACATATTAGCAATATCATCTTCACAACTGTTCTATAAGAGTTTCACAAATCAAGAAAACAGTTCACAGGAGCTGGGCAGCTTGCACATCTCAATACAGATTTGTCTCACAGACTTGTATAATACTTTCAGTTAGGTCTGTCTCTCTCTCAGAAGCCCATTAAGTTTCTAGCGATGCATTTAAAAACAGCAAGGAGAAGTTTTAGTGGTGCCCAAATAGTAATCTGTAGGCATGTTGTCACAGAAACCATGGTATTGGCAAATGCTCAACGATATAGATTGCCATTCTAGACAGAGAGGCCTTGACTTCCTTCCAGAAGGAAGGAATTAAAAAAATTCCTGGCTCTCTCCTGGCCTTCTATAATGCAAGAGAGGATGTTCTCACAGGTAAGTGGATGTCACCAGATAATGTGAACTTGAATTACACCCAGGGAGCTTCCTTAGACACAGAAAAGAATTTGGCTGTCAAGATGACTGAAACTTAAATACACCTTTGAGGTGATTTGGGATTCTCCGTCTTTGGAGTAAAAGTATTCACTATCCTGAGTATCTCAGATACTAACTAGCTTAGTGGCAGGCCATCAGATATCATCTCTGCATATTGAGGCTTTGCTTTCAAAAAAGAAAAGGAGAGAACAGAGCTGTAGATGTGAAACACACACACACACACACACACACACACACACACACACAAAACCCAGTAATGGGACTTCTTTGGCTATCACTGGAAGTAAGAAATGGAACCTTCCAAAAATACCACCATCCTTATCGTCTGATATTTAGAAACTGATAGTCCTGAGTGTGAAACAGGAATCCAGTGTGCATAAAACAAATAGGCAATGGAAGCTGCCATGTGATCCTTTGAAGGAAGGAAAGAAGAGAGAGCCAGATAGAACCACTGTGGCTTGATAAATTACTCTTGAAAACCCTCACGGCTATTTCAAGGAAGACAATCTGAATATTGAAGTCTTGCTCAGATCTAGTTTGGATTGAATACATGGTGTCTTTACACCTAAGATTGATTCATTGTAGCACCTACATAGATTTGGTTTAGGCGGTTCTACAAGCAGGACAAAAATACTTCCTGTTGAGTGTATAGCTGTGTAGTAAAAGTGTGCATTAACCATTGAAGAATCGTTTTAAGTGATAACAATATGGCTTGCATAGTAGTACCAGCTTTTGCAACTGTGTTTTATACATTTTCCAACCCTCCCTCAATTCCAGAAGTTAATATCATTAGCTTCAGGGATAAAAGTCAAAATATTTAACCTTATGAACATTGTCCAGTTAGTGTTGAAGCCAGCAAAGTCTTGGGGTATCATTCTGGGCTTGGAGCCTAAGTATTACCTCTTACATCACTGGCTTTTGATGGTGTTAGAGGATATACTAGGTGGTAATTAGGGGGTTCTGAGACTCCTGAATGCCTTCCTTGGTACTATGCGCAGCCCTACACTGGCAGCTATGATGTGTAGCAGACCTTCCTCTCTAAAGTCTTACATTCTGAGGAGTTCAGCTGTGATTGGCTATGATCAACAACTGGAAGGAACCTGGTTTCCTTAACTTACTGGGAAAGTAAAAAAGCCAAGGAATGAGCCATCACTATGAGATCTGCTGGGATTATAAATGCTGGAGCATGGAAGTCATCTTTCTAGTTTTTTTTCCCCCCTGGATGTTGGTTGGGTTCTGTGTTTGGTGATTGCTAGTGAATCAGATCAGTTGCTGGTGATGGCTAGTTTTATCTTATTCTTTTTTTTGGTCTGGTTGTAGTACCTGAACTCTGGGCCTGGGCGCTGTCCCTCAGCTCTTCAGCTCAAGACTAGCACTCTACCACTTGAGCCACAGCGCCACTTCCGGCTTTTTTCTTTTTGCTTATGTGGTGCTGAGGAATCGAACCCAGGGCCTCAGGCGTGCAAGGCAAGCGCTCTACCACTGAGCCACCTTCCCAGCCCAAGTTTTATCTTATTCTCTGCTTCTATAGCCCCCACCTATTATAGATTTTGGAAAGATCATCATCTACACGAACAACCTGAAAATAATTCGAACCCCAATGGACAAGAGAGACTTCATGAGGAAAATTCTCCAGAAGGAAGAGGAGGCTGAGGAGGAGTCTCTGATGAGCAAAGAAGAAAGCTATGGGGATGAGGACCAAAGCGACGGACCTTTGCTGGAGACGGAAAGTGCATTTCCCCATAGCCAGTACACACAGGTATGGCAGATTGCAGGCAGAGAAGCCCTGTACCAGTAATCTCCAAATTCTTGTGGTTCTTGTTGTTGGTTGTGGGGTTTGAACTCAGGGCCTGGGTGTTGTCCCTGACTTTTGTGCCCAAGGCTAGTGCTCTCCCACTTTGAGCCTCAACTCCACTTCCATTTTTTTTTTTTTTTCTGGTGGTTAATTGGAAATAAGAGTTTCTTGGACTTTCCTCCCCAGGCTAGCTATGAACCTTGATCCTCAGAACTCAGCCTCCTGAGTAGTTAGGATTACACCTGTGTTCTGCTTCCAAACTGTTTTGATTGTGTCCTACTTATCTAAAACTTTTGAATAAATAGTCTAAAAATTAAACATAGCCTAAATGTCTAAATATTAAAGACATGAAGGATTTTAATTTTTTTGTTTATGTTTTGCCAGTCTTGGGCTTGAACTCAGGGCCTGGGCACTGTCCCTGTACTTCTTTTGCTCAAGGCTAGCACTCTACCACTTGAGCCACAGTGCCACTTCTGACTTTTTCTGTTTAGGTGATACTGAGGAATCGAACCCAGGGCTTCATGTGTGCTAGTGAAGCATTCTACCACTAAGCCACATTCCCAGTCCTATGAAGGAATTTTAATGTTGTTGTATTTTAACATGTTAGTAATAGCAGGCATAAGTCCATATTTCATATAGTCATAATTTAAATATTCTTGGACTCCTTTTCATATCTGATTAGCCATTCATTGTTTTTTAAATTGTTTCTAACCATGATTCTAGCTTATAAACCTTTGTCTGATTTTTGGTTTTGCTTTTATTTCTATTTTTTGTACTAAGACCTTGAACTCAGGGCTTGGGTACTGTTCCTGAGCTTTTCTGCTCAAGGCCCTACTACTTGATGCATAGCTCCATTTCTGGCTTTTTGGCAGTTAATTGAAAATAAGAATCTCACAGACTTTACTGCTTCCAACTGTAGTCCTTAGAGCTCAGTCTCCTGAGTAGCTACGATTATAGGTATGAGCCACGGATGCCCAGCTGAACAGCTGGCTTTGTTGTTGCTGTTGTTTTGGTTGTTTTTTTTTTTTTCTGTTATGGGGCTTGAACTCTTGTCCCTCAGCTCTCCAGCTCAAGGCTAGCCCTCTATCACTTGAGCTACAGCGCCACTTCTGGTTTATTGGAGATGAGTCTCACTTTTCTGCCCAGGCTGGCTTTGAAATGTAATCCTTAGACCTCAGCCTCCTGAATAGCTAGAATTATAGGCGTGAGCCACCTGTGCCTGGCAACAACTGGTTTTTGAGGTATGGAAAACTAATTCTTCCATTCCCTTCCCTCCCCTCCCCTCCCCTCCCCTCCCCTGCCCTGCCCTCTCCTCCCCTCCCCTCCCCCTTCTCTTTCCTTCTCTTCCCTTCCCCTACCTCCCCTCCTTTCCCTTACCTTCTTCTCTTCCCTTCCCTTCCCCTTCTTTCCCTTCTTCCCTTTCCTTTCCTTTCCTTCCCTTCCTTCCCTCACTTCTCCTTCCCTTTTCTCACCTCCTCTCCCCCCTCCTTTCCCCTCCTCTCCTTTCCTTTCCCTTTCTCTTTCTTTTCTTTTGGTTGAATTGTGGTTGAATTCAGGACTTTGTGATTGCTTAGCTGATGTCTACTACTTGAACTACACCCCTAAATCTATTTTTTGCTAATTATTTTGGAGATAGAGTCTAGTGAACTTTTCTGCCCAGACAAGCTCTGAACCTCAGTCCTCAATATCACATTGTCCTGAGTAGCTAGGATTATAGGCATGAGCCTGTAAGGGTGGTCTGTCATTTTTATCATGAGTTTTGTTGTGCTTCTGTTATTGTTATTATTATTGCTATTATTATTATTACTGTTATTATTATTACTTTGGTGATGATATCATGTGAAGTCATGTGTCAACTTCGTACATTAATTTAGTCAAAACTAGAAAACATCATTTGTCTATCCATGAGCTAGCTCAGGCACAAGAAAACTGCAATATTTTTCAATGTGCGAAAAGTGAAGAACTGAGCTCCTTGGGATGCTCCTTAACACTGACTTTTTGGGATGCTAGCATATGTAGGGACTGACTAGAGAGAGTGCCACTGTCAACCAGTGTATTAAAGATTAGCCTAAGAGTGGCTTTAAAATATTATCAACTGAAAATATCAACTAGACATTAAAGGTATTAAATATTAATTGACAACAAACTATTAATAGACAGTATTTTGTCTATTTTTAGATCAAAAGAAAATATAATTATAATTTCTCTCACAAGCTTTGAAGGAATGTGACTGTGGACACCATGCTCAGGCTCAGATGGCAAGGAAGAGTGCGGGTACCCATTAATTCACAGTGTGCAGTTTGGGGTGTGGAAGCAATTTTGGTCAATTTAAGCTAAAAACATGGGTGCAAAGTGAATTTGCTGTCTATCATACTTGGCTTCTAGTGTTACTGTTTTCTGTGTTCTGTGACACTTTTGTGTGTGTGTGTGTGTGTGTGTGTGCTGGTCCTAGGGCTTGAACTCAGGGCATGAGTGCTGTCCCTGAGCTCTTTTGCTCAAGGCTAGTGCTCTATCACTTGAGCCATAGCTCCACTTCTGGCTTTTTTGGTGGTCAATTGTAGGTAAGAGTTTCAATAAGAATGGCCAATAGACACATGAAGAAATGCTCAACCTCTCTAGCCATAAAAGAAATGCAAATCAAAACAACATTGAGATTCCACCTCACCCCAGTTAGAATGGCTAGAATCAAGACCTCTAATAACAACAGATGCTAGAAGGGTTGTGGACAGAAGGGAACCCTACTGCATTGTTGGTGGGAGTGTAAACTTGTTCAACCACTTTGGAAAGGAGTATGGAGATTCCTCAAAAGACTCCACATAGAGCTCCCCTATGACCCAGCAATCCCACTTTTGGGCATTTACCTGAATGATCACAAACAAGACCGTACTAAAGCTATCAGCACAACTATGTCAATGCAGCATTATTTGGATATGGAGCCAACCCAGATGCCCCTCAGTAGATGAATGGATCAAGAAAATGTGGTATATATACACAATGGAATTCTATGCCTCCATCAGAAAGAATGACATTTCCCCATTTGTTAGGAAATGGAAAGACTTGGAAAAATTATATTAAGTGAAGTAAGCCAGGCCCAAAGAAACATAGGTCCTATGGTTTCCCTTATTTGCAATAACTAGTATATGTCTGCAACAAGCAAAAAAGGTCAGATAAGATGATGTTAAGTGAAATCAACCCCAAGATAGGGATACAAGTGGTTTTTCTTTCTGCTATTGTTTCTAACATATTTATAAGGTACCATGTGATTTTTTTTGTTGCTTTGTATGTCCCTCCCCCATGGTATAACCCCTGTTTTCACTGTATTTGATGTTGGTATAATTTGTGGAGGGGAAGGGAAAAAACAAATTGTTTAAATAGCAATACAGGTGGAACCATTGCAACACTGAGATGTACAAGACACTATGTTGAAAAATGAACTTTACAATTTAGGTGAGGGGGTAAGGGGGTGTATATTTGAGGAGGTGGGAGGGAAGAGATTGTAGGGGAAAAACAAAGGAGGAAGTAACAATGCTGGATAAGAAATGTACTCATTACCTTGCTCATGTAACTGTAATCCCTCTGTATGGTATTTTCACAATAAAAAACTTATTTTTTAAAAAAAGCATCTCATGGACTTTCCTGCCTGAGCTGGTTTTGAATTGCAATCCTCAGATCTCAGTCTCCTGGGTAGCTAGGATTACAAGTGTGAGCTACTGCTGCCCAGCCTCTGTGACACTCTTATTCCCCTTGTGTTGGCACAGAAAATGAGCAAGGGACTTTCTGAAGCCTGGGTGACATCCCTGTTCTATGAGGATGTAGAAGAAGAGACTAATAAGGCAACGATCACCGAGCATCCGTGGCTTATCCCAGTAACCCTAGCTACTCAAAGACTGAGATCTGAGGATTGTGGCTTGAAGCCAGCCCAATTGGGAAAGTCCTTATGACTTGTATCTCCAATTACCTATCCCCCTCTCCCCCCAAAAAAGGTTAATGGAGCTGTAGCACAAGTAGCAGAGTGATAGCCTTGAGTGAAAAAGCTCAGGACAATGCCCATGCCCTGAGTTTAAGCCCCAGGACTGGCACAAAAAAGAAGGCCATGATGGGCTTTGAGTGGCAGCCTTAAGTTGATGTACCAAAGACACCATGTATTCTCATTTGCCTCCTTCCTTCCTTCCTTCCTTCCTTCCTTCCTTCCTTCCTTCCTTCCTTCCTTCCTTCCTCCCTCCCTCCCTCCCTCCCTCTCTCTCTCTCCCTCTCTCCCTCCTTCTCCCTTTCTCTCTCTCTCTCTCTCTCTCTCTCTCTCTCTTTCTTTCTTTCTTTCTATCAAATCTACCTAAGTTTCCACAACCTTCTCTAGAAGCTTCTTTCTTCTGTTTTCCTTCACTCTTTCCATCCTCTCTGCTTGGGAGCAAGCCACTTGGACTCCAGGAAAAGGCTTTTAACTTTGATTCACATCTACTCATATCTGTTCTCATATTCACTTCATTAATCAGCCCCCCCACCCTCCCACCCTACTTGTAATATCCTTTCATTGCTTGGGATAAGACAAAAACTCCTTCCTCACTGTGGGTAGCCTGGCCATTGCTGGCCTCTCCATGCCCTCTGCCCAGACACACGGCCTGTCTATCATATGTTCTATGCTCTTTCCTAACAGAGCCAAATCACCTCTTTCTGGAACATTCTCCAGGTCCTCTGCCACTTTGCCTTCTGCTCCTGAGATCACAGTGGCATCATGCACACTTAGGATCTTCCTTGGCTTCCATAAGGATAAAGTCCTCCAGGATGGACCTGCACCCTTCCCTACAATGTCCATCTTCCCTCTGTCATCTGCTTAATGCTGGCTCTTCTCCACGAGTTTGTCTCCATGCAGGGAGAGGTGATATTTATGCTGAGTACCACATCGCAAATCCCAGGTCAGAAAAATAACAGAACCTGGAATACAATAGCAAGTATCGGTTAATATTTGT